TATAGAGAGAGAGAGAGAGAGTAGAAATTGTAGCATATTGATGGCAACTATTACGGAAATATGGTAAATATAGTGTAGTTGGGGTTTAAATGTAAATTATTGTATAGTTTGTTAATATTCAGTTAGTCGGGTAATTAGTTGGTTAGTGGTTAAGTAGTTGTATATAAACTGTATTAGCTTCATATTTATGGTAATGAGAATTCTGACATTTCTATTCTTTGTGTTTCATTTCTTTCTCGTAATATGGTATCAGAGAAAATGATCAAGCTTTCGATTCATTTTCTGTTCTCTGATTGAATAATTGTTTCTGATCATCTTCTCTGATTGGTTTGAGATTTTATTTCTTTTCTGATCAGCCATTCTTGTTTGAGTCTTCACCGATTGTTTTTATCTAAATATGGTGACTAATGTTTAATCATCATCCTGCAGTTATAGATCTACGATTTCTCCGATCGATGATCGCATTCATCCGTATTATCTTCATCTTTCTAAGAGTCTCGGTTTTGTGCTAGTTTCTCAACTACTTACCAACGACAATTACAACTCCGGAGTCAAGCAATACAAATTGCATTCTCTGTGAAGAACAAGATTGGCTTCATAGATGGTACTCATCCTAAGCCTAATTCTTCCGAGGCAATCAAATTACAATGAATGGATGCGCAACAACAAAATGGTGATATCATGGATTTTAAACTCTATTTCCAAAGAAATTTATGCTAGCATTATGTTCACAGAGAGTGCTCATGAGATAAGGAAGGATTTAAAGGATTGTTTTCAACATGCTAACAGTCCTCGTATATTTCATATTCGAAGAGAGCTTGTCAATCTGAAGTATAGTTAGGGCTCAATTGGTGTTTATTTCACCAAATTGAAATCTCTATTTGAAGAAGTCATCAATTTCAGGCCTTATTATGCCTGCAAAAAATGTGATTGTAATGGTGTACAAGAAATTGAACAATATTTTTAAACATAATACATCATGAAATTTTCATGGGGTTAAATGAGTTATTCTATCAATCTAGAGGTCAAATTCTACTCATGGATCCATTGCCCTCAATTAATTGTGTTTTCTCTTTAATGGCTCAATGATGTTTCCAATGATGAAACATTCTATGGCCTTTATGGCTAAAATATCCGCTCCACCACGAAAACCTCAAACCAATAACTATAAACCTTCAAATAGGGATCGTCCTTACTGTACTCATTGCAATTTTCAATTTCGCACCATGTATAAATGTTACAAGTTACATGGTTATCCTCCTGGATAAAAGTCCAATAATTCCAACAATTATAAGTCAAGAAACGAGTCTAATCATGTTTTTGTTGTTAATGCAAATGATGATCCTAATGCTCATATTTCTTCTATCAACAATGACTTGGCCAATATGTTCAGGGTTTTCTCCCGTGATCAATGTCAGCAATTTATGTTTGCATTATTAAACCACATGATAACTATCAATCCACGTGAGGAAATAACCACATGTAAATGTTATTCTCTTTGAATTAATTCTGAACAAATATCTCATAAATGGATCATAGATTCTGGAGTAACTCGGCATGTTTGACATGAGATTACTATGTTCATGAATAATAGAAAAGTAAGTCATTGCACTATTACTTCTCCAAACAAGATAACTCTCCTGGTGACACTTATTGGCGATGTCAAGATAGATCACTTGTTTGTTCTTCCGAATGTTTTATATGTTTCGTGCATTTGATCAAAATTTAATTTATGTTAGTGCCCTCACCAAAAATCAGAAATTGATGATTCGGTTTACCATTCATCATGCTTTGATTCAGGATTTGATCAGATATATGTGTGTGTGTGTTTTTTCATTATCGATTTGTAGGTATGTGTATGTGGTCTAGGGTTGAGATTTGTTGTTGTTATGTTTGTTATGCTTATTTCCCTCTTCTTCTTCTATCTCGATTATTGTTGTTGGGTTTGTTTGAAATTGTTCTTGATCTCGAGTATTTGAGCCTCAATGTGCAAAAGGTGGGGTGCTTGGATAGAATCTTTCCTCTTTCAATTGTGAGAGACGACACTGACCGACAAACACATACATATCTTTTATTTGTTTTATGATTCTTGATTTTAGATTGTGGTTGAACGATTGATTGTTTACTTATGTGGGTTTTCTTTGGTCCTATAGGAATTGAAAATTATTGCAAAAAAATGGGCGAAGAGAGATAGGGTTAGGGCCTTTGTATAAGACAAAACTTCATAAATGGTCCATGTGGTAGTGAAATGACGGAAATGTCCTCATATTATCTTAATCAAATGGTAGTTAATGGCCAAAAGCTGACGGAATGAGCAAAAATGACGGTTTGCTACAAGTAACTGGAAGTTTTTTAAAATATATAAAATTACATAAAATGGCATGGATATAAACTAAAATTGGAATATAAGGATATGATAAATTAAAGTTTGTAAACTATAATTATCGAAAGTTAAAAATCATCCAAATTTTAATATCATGTACACTGGTTAAAGATACTCAATTGGTATGAAGTTTTTTATACATATTAGGTTATGTTTAACGTATTAACTGAAAAGCTAGTTGTTATATGAGAAATTAATTAATAGCTGAAAAACTAGCTACTAGCTTATAAGCTAGCTGATAAAAGATAACTTTTGGTTAAAAAAATAGCTTATAAGCTAGTTGTAAGAAAAAAAAAAGCATACGTAAATATGACTTTTATACATATTTAAGGGTATA